AGAGATATTATTCTAGAGGACTCGAAATGCTGAAACCACAACTCAGTAATGACGCCAATTGAGCGGATGTCAGAAGACCTCGAATAATCTATATTTCTCTGAAAGGAAAATACGCTGGAAGAGAGGCCTATTGAAACACGGATAGTACAAGCATTCAAAAGGTACATCCTACTTTTTTTTGTATTTTTGAAAACCAATTTGTGATCAGAATGACCGTAGATTTAATTTTTTAAGTGGCTTCAAGGAATGTCGTAGGAATTTGATTATCATTTTGGGAGTTTGACATGTAACATCGTCATTTGCGCCCGGGGAGAATTTTTCGTTGAGGAAACAGACTTTACAGAAATGGGCGTTCGAAGTTAATGTTTTCCAAAAACCAGAGTAGAAACGGATCCCGGGGATGGGATAACGAACGCCTGAGAGTGTTTATGATCATCCAGACATCATGGCAAAGGATGGATTTGGCGGGGAGTGGCCAACAAATCTGGACTATTTCAAACCGCAGGAAGCAAATAAAAGTTATATTATCGGCTTAAAGAGATGCTTTTCTCCCAGCCAAGTCTTCATATCGATAGGTTCGATGCGGAAGGCGCCTCATCTGATTTGACACCGAGCATTGTGATTGCGTATTCAATGGCGACGCGTTACGGAGGCGCTGATCCACACCACCAACACTTCCATAATCCGGCGAACAGGTCGGATGGGGATCTTGTTGCAATAACAAGAGGCAATACCAAGCAGAAACTCGCGGTCTGATTGCCATGAGCTACCATACGAAGGAGGATTCACAGGCGTACACACATGGAGTCTTCAGTTTATTTTATTTTATTATTTTTTCAAGTTGGCTTAAGCACGTCACACCATTTGGACGATGGTAGGGCACAAATTTGTAGATTCGGGGAAAGGAATTAGGCGACTCCGAAAAGCAGAAAAAAGGATCTGAGTGTTATGCGAAGTGATAATCCAGCAGAAAACGTTGCAGCTACATTGTGAGGTGGAAAAACTTTAATTCAGTTTAATAAGTATCCATTCTTGCCAATTTATAAGAACATTATTCAATTATTTTCAAATAACGGTGAACGGTTCTAGGAAGAGCAAAAATTGTCGCCCACTTTATTCCCCAAGAATATAAGGATGGAAGAATAACAAACTTCTAGGGCTGGTGTTGTATGTAGGCTTTCTCGGTATTAAAAGAAATAGCTACGAATGCTGTTGTGAATACCAAAGAAAGTGGATATCTGTAAGTAAAGTGTTAAATTAATTTGATCGGACTTAGGCAAATGGTGCTAATACCACTCTATATTTTTAATTTTCAATAAATCAAATTTTCGGAATTAATAAATCTCCGAGATTTTGCTTAAACACCCGAGGCTCTTAATTTTCAGAGTTTATTCTTAACAATGATGTTTAGCAAAATAATATTTTTGATGTACACAATTTAAAAGATGTTTAGCTAATAAATTGTGTGATATTAATAGTATTTTATATCTATTAAAGTAAGTTACCCAGCATTCCGGCTTATTTTTCATACCAGGGATACTGTTTTTGTATACTTATCCACAGTTCATATGACGAACAGCTGAAATCATCTTAGATCATCTCATTTTATCGTTTAATTCGCTCGATTTTTAAATTTTCAAAGGTTTCGAAATTCCAATTGAACCTGCATATATTAATTTAGGGCTGATATTTAATGCATTATCGAACCCCTAGATTTCTCCACTAATAATGAAACAGTGCGCTGTACTTCATGGACTTGGTGTAAACGTTTGCCGGAGCATGATCGATATATTAGCGATATATTTACCAATGATAATGTAATCGTATAATTTTTAAATGTCGTTTCATACATTACGAGACAGATAGCATCCAAATTTCCGACACATTATTACGCAATTGTTTGAACACGTCTCATTCTCTCAGAAGTATTTTAAATTGGAGTCTCCGATGAAACTTCACTTAATAGTTTAAAACTATAAAGCATTAGTATAAGGTTAACAACGCATTGTTATTTAATAGCTACATAATAATTTTGAACGAGACTATCACTATACGATTGTTACGACCACAAAAAATAAACACCGAAGACGTGCGTTTCATTTACTGATTGAGATCAAAAAAAACCCAAAAACCATTTTTTTTTTTTTTTTTTTAAAAAATTTTTTTAGCGTCTAAACCGTACCCCTTTCCTTATTCCTTCCCAATTCTGGCCGATAGGTAGATGACGCGGGCGCGCGCGAATGCGAGCGCGACGACGCTACCTGTCGCGATTCGCTGACTTACTGCGACTGACGTGACTTGACTACCCAGCGGCCCCTACACAGTGCTGGCGTGTATAATAAAGCGAGGATTACTCCTATAAATTAACGGAGGAGTTACTCTAGTGCGCTCAACGCTTTTGGGAGCTAGAGACGCCGTTGCGTGAATAGACGCAACAAATTAAGAAAAAAAGGATCTTGTGCTACGACAGATTGCTAGAGATTCTTTCCTTCCACATGACCTCACTCCGAACCTTAGGGCCGGATTGCCTGTTCTCATAAATCGGTGTATCTTCAATAGACTTTGCAGTAAATGAGGCGTCGGAGATACGAAAAAATCGAAATCGGATCAATTTAATTTGGTTATGAATAAAAAGGGAATGCGTAATTGGCAAGGTTCTAATGGAGAGCACATTCCTTCTGTTGAATCACGTCCATGCTTTTTTGCAAAACAACTTCTAGATATAAATGAACCCTACAATTTTATCATAAATCCTTTAAAATGAATTTCGGACAGTATTGTTTTACACACGCTCGGGAGAAGTGAAAGGTTGTTGCCCTTTTCCGTTCTACCCTGCTGGGCAAAGAGCGTCTGTGAGCACGGCGCGCAGCAGGTTGAACATTCACGATACGAAACACGTCGTCTTCCTGATTTATCGGACGAGTGTTTCGTGCTTATAGCTTTTTCGGAGAGATGTGCTCGTAACCTTTGATCCGAGGTTCTTGTCCATTTAGAGGGTAGGAAGCAAAGCGGTCTCGCCCAAACAAAAAGGAAAGGGCCGGGGCGGTATCGTTCAGCCAGGTGTTGTGATGAAAGCAAAAAATCAGAGAGCAAATTAGCCGTCGGTGGCGTGTTCCTGTACGGCTAACACGAGGGGTAAACACATGGTGGTGGCCGTAGCGGTTAGCGAACTAGGAGGGGGCGGCCATGTATTGTCACGAACTATGTAACATAAATTTTACATCTTCAAAATTATTTCTTTGAACGAGGACCAGTACTGTACAACCCATTTGCATTGCGATATTTAATCCTTATTCTAAGACAACTTGTTACATTGTGATAACGGGAAAATGCAATTGTGCTCACGCGAAATTTAGGATATTTTTTTTTAAAAGTTTTCAGGAAAACAATACAGTAATATATGAATAAGAAAAAGGATCAGTACTCTTCGGTTAGTCGCGAGACTGAACAAAACCCTAAAATAGAGCACGCTGCCCCTCCCCACCACCACCACAACCACCCAATTCCCTGCACCCCCACGCTCTTCAAGCTTCCGTTGCCTTCTGTTGAAGCAGTTACGACGAATCCGATTGTCCACGATTCCATTTCCTTTCGCATAACCGAGCACTTATTAGTTATTTACGACA